CTCGATGCGTGCATGCGGAAGCCTGCCAAAGTCGACGCCACGGCCCCGGAGGTGCGCGATGGAGGCCGGGTCCCTTAGGTTGGCTGGGTTGTTGATGTCGAAACCACAGAGGTTGAACTCGAACACGACGAGCTCGCCGCCACCGTCGTCGGTGCGGATGGCGAGGCCGACCTGGATGGGGTGGAGCTCGTTGACGTTAGCCTTGACCATGTCGTAGCGCTCCTCGGTAGTGAGTTGGGCGTACTTCCTCCGGCCACCGGTGCCCGCTTGAGCGACAGCGCATCCGGGCTACTAGACGCTCACCGTGACGTGGACGGCGCGTGGCGCGATGGTGAGGAGCCGGGTAGATTCGGTATCGAAGTTGCCGTGCCATACCGAGTGGACGACGGCGGCGACGGCATTCGTGGTTGGCACTGGGCAGCTGCGGCAGCGTTCATGGCGAGCGCACGTGCAGGCGGGAGGCTACTCGACATCAGTAAAAAGGTTAGAGAGAAAGCTATGTAGGCTCGGCTAGGCAGCAGGTTTTGCATAATGTAGCTATAAGAGGTCGACAAGGCGGTGATCAAGTCGGATTCGAAAACATTGTCAACCTAGGCAACAGACAACGAGCAAAGTTCTGGTTCCACTCGGTTTCCGTCAGGGTTTCCAAAACCACCAGGACCGGGGTTACCGTGCCCCGGCGGTAAGCACGGTTACCGCACGGTAACCGTGGTAACTGTGAAAAACCGTACAAAGCCGTGCAAAATTTATCAAAAATTTAAATTATTTTTTAAATTTATTTAAATTTAAGGAGGTTACCGCGGTATTTATATTACCGTATCCCCGCGGTAAGCCCGGTAACTGCGGTTACCGGCGGTAAGGGAAACCCTGGTTTCCGTCTCCGTGTGCACATGTGTAAACCGTTACAAACTTATATTGTTTCAGTTACAATTATGGCTATGTTTAGATCCAAACTTTGGATCCAAAATTTGCAGCCAATCATTGGGAAGTGACATTTCAAACTTCTAAATCGGAATGGGGTGTTTAGTTGACTGCCCAAAATTCAAATGAGGGTTCATAGAAGACAATTGTACCCCTATTTAATGCAGCAACTTGCATGTAACAGCATACACAAAAATTCAAATCAGGGTTGCATTCACACACATTCCTACTGCATGCACACTTCTCAGCAGCATGCATGACCTTACATGCAATCCATGCACACATGCAAATCATACAAATTAAAACAGTCCATACATATAGTTGCCCTTCAAAATTACATTACAACTGTTGGTTATCACATACTGCTAGCTGACATACTATTGCTCATAAATTACTACACCAACAAATGACAGCCACAACATTGCCTTCACACATACATGTCCTCACATATTACAAACAACACATATAAATCCTCACATATTGCAGCAGCACAAATTATTCCTCCCAAGTTACAACAACAATTCCATGTGGTGACATGCACCACATGGAAATACAAGTCTAAAGAGAATTACAGCATACAACACTTGTGCCGCAACATTCCCATGTCTCATGGTCGATGCAACAACTCGAGCGCAATTGTATCGTGAAAAGCATTCATACGTTCACATTCTAATAGCTAGGAGCCTCATCTTCTGGTGGCTGATCTTCATAGGCCTCCGGAGGAACATAATTCTCATCTCGGTCGCAACGACCAAAGTGTCTATCCGTTAAACCGCTAAGCCTTATGTAATTATGGAGAGCTATGCAAGCTACTATGATATGTGTTTGAGTTTCTGGGGGATACGAAGGCACATATTTCAATATGCGCCACTTCTGCTTGAGCACTCCAAATGATCGCTCCATGACATTTCTCAGGGAGGAATGTGCATAATTGAATACCTCCTCTTTACCTTCTGGTTCTACGGCGTTTTGGAACTCTTGGAGATGGTACTTTGTGCCCTTGTACGGCGCCAGGTACCCAATCCGGTTTGGATACCACGAGTCCACTAGATAGAACTTCCCTGCAGTGGTAAACACTTGTAAGTTACACGTGATTACAGTTAGACATTGGAAACATACAACAGGTAGCTGTGTACCTGGAGGTGGATGAGGGAAAACATTTTTGTATCTAGTCATTGCATCGTTGAATACCCTCATGTCATGCACAGAACCCGGCCACCCAGCAAACACAAATGTAAAAATCATGTCAAAGTCACAAAAGGAATGTTTCTGAGGCAGCACATACCTAACACAAATAGCACCACTAATTGCTAAACAGACATAGCTTGCTAAACATACATAACACAAAAGGCACCCTAAACAGCGCTACATGAACATGTAAAGCATGCATAAGAAGGTCTAGCTGTCGACCCTTGCGTAGTTCTCAATGAGGGTCTTCGTTCCTCCAGGATTCGACAGCTCAAACACATTAATGTCTACTGGGTCCTTCACCATCTTCAACATACCAACCCACAGCTTTGGGGTCTCATCAGTGACCCCGCACTCTCTACTCAATCCCATGATACGCTCGGCCACCTCCCGCACGCGTGCCATCTCATCATCCTTCTTCTTCTCACGCCTGCCCAAGTAGTTGTCCATGGCTGCTACTTTGTCCTTCTGCAACTCGTTGTGGACCTTCAATTCGGACACCATGGCGCGCACCACTGGGCTCTTCAACTTTTTGCTCGGACTAGTAGCTGTACTGCGCGTGCTTGGTGTGCTCCTCATGCTGTGCGTCCTCTTCGTCCCAACGCTTAAGGGGCTTAGGGGTCCAAGTCATCTTCCTCGGAGTCATCTTCATCATCGCTGTCAATGTCCTCAATGGGGTTGGCCGGCTGTGCTGAGGGCTAGGTAGGAACAAAGGAAGTCGAGCCGTCCACTGCCACCCCCATGAACATGCGGTCCAGTTCGTCCAGATACTTGGGCATCCCATTCTTCGGCTTCTTCAACTCAGCATGGTTCTGCAAAAATCACACAAAGCGGTCAGGTGAAGGACAATTATTGTGGACAAAACATCAGAATGAACAATGTAAGCATTGTACCTTCGTGTTGTCATCCCACCACTTGTCAGAAGCCACAACGGTGCCATCAGGCCAGCGGCCCAACCCAGTATATGTCCTCAACTTCTGTATGAAGGACCACATAGTTTTCAAACCCCTATATCTAAAATTGAACTGCTCATTGTCATGGAGCAACCCAGTGACAGCGTAAAACCCCTTTCTGATCTCCTTCCAACCGAATTTGGTCATGCTTCCCCTTATGCAGTTGCCGTTTTCAATTTGCTTGCAATACAGCTCGCAAAAAAGTTTCGTATTTTCATTGGTCCACTATGCCCTGTCGTTCACTTCCTAGAGGCACAATTAAACTGACAAAGCAATGACCTTACCACTAAACAGAAGTAAGCAGCGGCATCGGAATGAACTATGTGATGACTATGTGCTGTTAGAGTACTATAATCAAGCGCAAGTAATGTTAGAGCTCTAAACTCAATATGAAGTTTACAGAACAATAATCAATCGGAACTAAACATAACACTTGTAAACTTATGGTACTTTGCGAATCCACACATTGCACAACCAAAATATTTACTTACCTCTATGAGCCGACGCCGTGCACCACAACCCCTGCCTCGGCCTCGCGCCTACGATGCGGCCGGAGCCTGAGGACGGATGGGAGGCACGAAGACGCCTTCGTGGCCTGCACCTCCAAATGAAGGTGGCATTGGCGGTTCTAACCCAGCACCAATCGAATGCAGGCCGCCGACTCCTGGTGCCGCCATCGGACCGCCCCATATCCGCTTGCTCCTTGACCACTGGGGCACCCACGAAACCCGACCGTGCGGTTCGCGCTCCGAGACGGACGTGTAAGCCCAGAGGGCATTGGCTGCCCTCCCATCCGCCGCCGCGAAGGTCTTGGTAGCCATGCATGGCGGACCACTCGTATGCGGAGTTGAGGTCGAGCGTCCTGAACTCGAGCTGAGAGGGGTTTTGGCTGCTCGAAGACCCCTTGCCGAATCCCCCAAAGGTGAAGGACGTGTGGCCGCCTTCACGAGAGGGGTGCAGAGGCTGCGCGAGGAAGTCTCGGGTCGGGATGCCGGCGCCGAATCTATGCTCGGCCCAGTAGAGGGGCCTGGTGCCGCCGCCGCCGTAGACACCTCCGGTGTTGTCGGTGCCGTAACCGCCGACGGTGCTGCCGTCGCCGTACCCGCCACCGTTATGGCTGTCGCCGTAGCCGCCACCGTTGTTGCTGTCACCGTCGTACGCGTCCATAGCCGGTTCGGGTGGTTTCCGCCGGATACGCCACTACGGATGTGGTGGATCTGGAAGAGAACCCCTTGGATTCACCCGGGGGAGGATCGGGAAGATGGAGGGAGAGTGACGGCGGCAGAGATACAACCCTAGGGTTTGCGCATGGGAGGAGCCGAGGGGGAATGGATAGGAGCGGCGGCGTGGATGCCTCCCACAGGGGTATTACGGGCCACTCATGCCCTAGGCTACTGTTGGGCCTTCAATGTGTCAATTGGCCAAATTCCAGGTGCCCACCCGTTTAGTTCCAAAGTGCAGACTGTGGCCTCGTGCCAGATTTTTTTTGGCACTTTGGCCCTATCTAAACACGGCCTCACTTTTGCCTCAGATTATTTCAGTTCCAATAAGGCCCTGTTTAGTTCACACCAAACTTTCCCTAAACTCTCAACTTTCCATCACATCACATTACACCCAAAACTTTTCTACTCACATAAACTCCTAACTTTTTTTCCAAACTACCAACTTTCCCTAAACTTCTTCCCAATTTCAGAAAAACACAGCCTAACCCCAAACTTCTTCCCAATTTTAGAAACTAAACACAGCCTAAACACAGCCTAAGATCACTTCAGATGAGCAAAGTACGAGAGAACTACACTGAGGCCGTTTGAATTTTGGGCAGCCAACTAAACACCCCATTCCAATTTGGAAGTTTGAAATGTCACTTCCTTCATTGACTGCATTTGGATCCAAAGTTTGGATCTAAACACAGCCTGAATCCATTTTGCAATTCCGACAAACATACCGAACAACACGAATATCATGAACAAGGGTTTATCATGTTTTATCACGGATATCTACAGGCAGCTTCAGTAGCAGAAACGTAGCATTCAGTCACGTTTAGATATTTTAGATACAGGCTTCAAGATAGAATGAACATGAACTGGCATCACTGAAGCACACAGCAGCGAAGCCAGCAAACCACCCATCAAGCAGAACGAACATTCAGCTGCTACCGTCAGTAGGACGCGACGCAGTTGGGTACACCTGAGAACTCGCAAACCCGACAAAAGACGCCACCCTTCCGAATCGAGTCCCCTTGCGCAACTTATTCTAGTTCTTCTTTGGCTTCACCGGGCCCCTGGGTATCTTGCTCAAAACCTTGGCATCCAGCACCTCATAGTGCTTGCAGGCCTCAGAGTGAGCCCTTCCAGCAAAGTGGTCGACCTTATCCTGGTACTTGTCATACAAGATCGGCACCGTGTGGAGCATCAGGACGGCTGTTTGCAGTATCAAACCAAACCATCAGTAAGGTAACTTAGGAGACCACAGGTTCAGAAAAGCTTTTAACAAGTTCAAAAGTGCATTACCAACATATATCAAGGTGAGGAAGTCGCAGCAGCTTCCTACTTCTGAGAGAACCCAGAGAGCAACAATCACCTAAAACGCACAAGGACAGTATTAAACAATCTGCAATCAACAACTGGAGCAAGGAAAACCATGAATAGTTTGTATCTTCCAGGATAGAAACATACGCCCAGAAACTTCTTTAGGTCATGCCCCAACGCGATCTCCCGAAACAGGTGAAGTGCTCTGTTTATGTCACTGCGTAATGCTCGTGACACGTTCACGGCGACATCTTCAGGTATCTGTACTACAGGAATATCTGGTGGACTCCTGAAACGGAAACACTAGATGTGAACAACATGGAAGCAGTACCAATCAGAACGTATGGTAATCATCGTGTATCGAACTAACTTCTTGATAAATGTGGTAGCTTTTGACCACAGGAACAAGATGGCCAAGGCACCAATCATCACATGGGAAAGCAGAGTCAAGAGATGGTAATCAAGCACTTCAAACAAGATCCATATGACAGTTGCACCACCAATCACTACAGCGGATGTCTTCTTGTCTTTCCATAATAGTACATCAGCAGCTGCAAAGAAATGCACCAAAACACATAACAAAATATAGGTTAGAAAGGAACAGCCGCGCATTTATGACACAGAAATTTCTCTTACTCCAGTATCCTCTCTGCCAGTAGGGCTATTGCATGTACAGAAGAAATATTGTCAACCCTGCAGACATGTCAATTGTCCTTTGCAGAATAAGCTAACTAAATGTTTCCAATACAGGAAAACCAACCCTCTTCAGACCTACTAGGAAGTAATTATGTTCATAAGACATAAATTCAGCTTTGAGTTAGCAGATGCTACAGAACCTTACATTCTGCATAGAATGACCAACACTGGCAACAATTTAAGTTCTTCATAAAAGGAAATTTCAGTCACAGAAGAATTTAGAATTAACCATAGGACAGACGAATAAGCAAACCAAAAACAGGACATTGTTTTCTAAAGAGCAATTAGGCCTGCTTCATACACAATAACTGGATTCCTTGTTACTTTGAAGCATGAACATATCATTCCCTCATTTTCAACCTTTAGTTCCGTTCATCCTTTGTACACTAGCGGATACAATCCAGTTGCCTAAGTACAGAGTACAGGATTCACACACTGTACAGTAAGCAAGAACTCTACTAACAAGCTTTACTTTGTATGTACTTTTGTACAAATATTGTTTCTACTTAGGTTTTCCTACTAAAACTTGTGTGGCCAATCCAACCAGTTCGCACGCCCAGAGATAAAACCAACCAACTTCATTACAAAATCTACTATAAAGCAACAATTTGTAAATTTCCAATCTTGTAATAGGGCCTTGCATATCGAACATTATTTGGATCCTACCATGCATTTTAAAACTCATCTGTATTTAAAATGACTGCTTTTCATTGTTCTCTTAGTCTACGCCAGCTGTTCTAAACATTCAGAAGTATTCCTTTCTAATTGCAACAACAACAAACAAAACATGTCAAAACATAAGTGGGTAATAGATCCTTGAACTTTCCAAGTTTAAGAGGCGTACCATTCAACAAGTTCAAGACATGTGCCACACTGCTGACATTGAATGTGTACATTTTAAGTATTATTGTACATCACTTTCCATGATGGTACTGCCTACCCTCATACCTAACCATGAAATCCCTGAACTTGAGAACCACACTTTTTCCATTTCAGAATCAAAGGAACACAGACAAGTGGGATAACACTCTGCTAAATTACAAAGCATTGCTATATATGGCATACAATCACCAAAATTTCTTAGATAAAAGAGAAAAAGGACGCACTTCAGTGTGGAGTAAATAATGTTACGACTCTTCATGAATCTATTTTGAGGTGCAGAAAAAAGGAACCAAACAATTGGAGTGTGGACTCAGTTTTATAAAGGTGGTACTGCCTACAGGATTCATTACAATCTTTCCGGTGGAAATATAACATCCATAGGGACACTGGACAAAAAGATGTCGATTCCAAGAAAGACGGTGGCCTTTCTTTTTCATACTTACCATCATCATTACATCTAATTTGTCAAACATGAAACCATATGTTTATAGCTCGAATTGAATATATATTCATTTTTGGGTAAGAAAGTCCTAGGGAAAAGGCAGCTAGCCACATTATTTTTGTATGACAAAATATTACCAAACTTTCTTAGTATAACTTGAGCATGAAGTCCATTACCCTTAAGACGAATTTCTTTATTAGGAGGTTCCACAGATGATTCCTACCACATGGAAAAAGAATTGACAGAATCTCTCTCATAGTACAGGAACGAATCACTCTATTCACCATGGAAGGTAACAAGCAAATAATCTCCGCTGGTCCATAAATTCAGTATATATGTTGGATGTACAGGTTGCCAATAGTCCAGACAATCCAAGTAAGGAACTCAGAAGCCACTACGAATTTAACAAACTAGAGGTAAGCGCTTTCTTGGGGTAAAAGATGTCTATCAAACTTGCTGTTTCAGCAAACCTAGTACATGTAAACAGACGACGGGGTAAACGTTTTTATCGTTGACGCAATCTGCTGTCACTAATATAAATATGAATGGAAGCAGAAGCATAGCCAGGACAACGAAGAAGCCAAAGCAACTGCAAATACTGGAAGATCTATGTAAATAACAATTTTTTTACTAATCATGTCCTTCACATATATAGTAAGTAAGAAATTAAACAAAGCAAGTAAATTCCTCTTGCTGGGGAAACCTGACGGAAATCACTTTATTACACAAAAACTTTTTTTTCTTTGCCAATCAATCCAGCAAACAATAAACGATATCAGGAATACTAATAAGCTGATGATGAAAAGTATCAGAAAGAAAAAGAAAACTTCCCAAAAGGAGAAAAGATACACTGGAGAGAAGAGGGGAAAAGAAAAAAAAAAGAAGGGGGGGAGTAGAAATTTCCTTACTTTTACCGCCCCCAAGAGCCTTGTGCACGGAGGTGTCCTCCCCGAGCAGCCTGAACCCCCGGCTCCTCACCGCCGGCGCCGGCTCCGGTGGTGGCGACGACACCTTCTCCGGCGAGGCGGCGGCGGTGTCGGCGGGCAGCTCGACCGGCTGCGGCGCGTCCGAGGCACCCTCGGCGGGGTCGACCGCCGGGGTTGGCGGCGGCGCGGGGACGGTCTCCTCGGCGGCCGGATCGGCCATGGGCGGCAGCAAAAGCAGAAGCTGGAGAGCAAGGCGAAGCTACCAGAGAGAAAGGCGAGAGCTTTTTGCTGTGTGTGAGGTGAGCTCGTAAGGCGCGCGCACTATGGGGTGTTGGTGTTGTGTGGGGATTGCGATTTTGACGCCTCGGTTTGGAGAAGATGTGGATGGAGATATCTCTAGAATGCGGCGCGAAAGCGACGGCCGTTAACGGCGCTCATGATGGAGTAGTTGCTACGTGCACCCCGAGCATAGTGGGATTAGTACATGACATGGTTAGATTTAGAGCGCCGTCCTAGCACCTGTTTAACAGTTTTAAATCTGCCTAAAATGAGCTGGGTGTAAACTCTCACAAAATAAAATAAAAAGGTAGAGTTGGGTTTAGACTGTTCCGTAACTTCACTGCAGACCTAACTTCTAGAGCTAAATTTAGGAGTTGGAGCTATACCAAAAACAATCCCTTAGTGCTGAAAAGCATAAGCTAAAGCTAAAATTTGGATTTTCAAATTTAATTTTGAAGTTAAATTTAAAATACTTTTAACATAGTTTTTTTAACATTGGTTTTTAAATTGCTAAGAACACATAAATTACTTTCTTATCACTAATAAGCCATTACGACTTATAATAATTCTTCTGCAACCGATGAAACCCTTATCTCTTTTGCGGATTTTGTGATGCAGAAATATATGTTTGGTTTCCTCAACAATATATTTGATGATGATGATTTGTTTCTAGAGTTTAAGTAGGTTTTAATGGTATTTTTCTCTCTATGTTCTTGGACAATGATTTTGAGTAAGCACCAACGAAAGATTCGTAATTGGAGGAAGACAACATATCAAAGACAATATACAAATGATACATGATTATGGAGAATATATTTCGGTCCCAAACCTACTATAATATAATACTTATGTATCATATATTCCTATAGTCGAGCTAGATTTGTGATATTCATACTGTAACAACCAAATTTCATGCTTTGATCCGTTGCATGCACCCCACGATATCCAGCTGCAGGTTCATTCCTCTCCCTAGTCCCTCCAAGCTTGTTACAATTCATCTTAACTTGGTTACCATGTCTATTTTTATTGGCTTTGGCAATTGATAAGCACCTAGTTGAGACCTAATTATCTTAGTATGTTCTATGTGTGCCGATACTAACTCTATATGGTTTAAAAATGTGTGTGGTCTATTAGGCTCACAACATGGAAGCGAGCCCGGTGGTAGGTCCCTTTTGCTCCTACTTGCCGGTTCCTAGTTCGAACCACATCAGAGAATCCCTCTTTTTCAGGTTTTTTCTTACTTATCCTCCTTGAATTTTTTTCTGTTAATTTCTTTTTCAAACAATCACATTTTGTTTGTAGATTTATTTTATGTTTATTTTTTTGCAAGGGATAATTTTACGTTCAATTTGGAATAAACAAATTTGAAAACATCAATTAAAATGCTAAAATCAATAAATTACTTAGCTAAATTATTACAATTTTGTATTTTTAAACTTGTGTAGTATAATTTAGGTTCTCGAATTTGTTCCTACCAAGTTTAAAAATAAAATAGTTTTAGAAAGCAGATGAGGAAGTTCAAAGACCGTGTGCCACGTCGAATATGACCTCAGTGCCAACTAAATGTTTTAGCTCATGTCGTCAGTGTTGGTGCTAAGGTCACGGTTTTTTTTTCTGAAATTAGTTTTTTTGCACGATTCATTCTTAACTAAAAGTTTTATAAAAGGGTCAATTTGTAAAAAAAAAGTAAGGGCCTATTTGGTTTGGAACCAATTTTTGCCCTACCAAAATTTTGGTAGTGCCAAAACCTTGGCAAGTTTTGGCACTACCAAATTGGATAGTATTGAATTTAAACTATTGTGGACAAAATTTGGTAGCAAACCAAACATACACTTACTAATATTAAAGTTACCAAAATTTTAGTAGGGCGATAAGTTGGTATCAAACCAAACAAGCCCTAAAAATTTTAGCATCAAACCAAACATCTTAGGCATAAATTGGGTTCAATCCAAACAACCATTATATACCCTTTCTCTTATAAAGTCACTTTTATCAATTGGCAGTAGGGTGTTCCCTTCTCTCACATTCCAGTACGCACACACGCGTGCGTACTCGTAGCCACATCGTCCCCGTGAAGTATCAAGGATCAAACGGAGGGAGGGAGAGAGGAATCCCGTCGGCAGACGGAGATGCGTCAGCTATCCTAGTGCTGTGGGCCTGGGCCCTTCGTAATCACCGGGCCCCACACACTGCCGACGTGGCGACCGGCGAGCCCAGACACGCGGACCCCATGGCTCGCTGGAAAGCTCCAGGGGGACACGTGCCACTGCAGCGCGGGCCCCACATACCCCCACGACAATTCCAATTTCGATCCAAACAGCTCGCCGCCGCCGCCGCTTCGGTGTGGAACCTACGTGTGGCCAACCAAACCGACCCAAGAGCACCAGTACTAGACTAGACTAGAACTATGGGAATGTAGCAGGAGTAATCTGGGTTAGTGAATTTAGATAATATTGTTATTGAAAACAAGCCTGAAGTATATGCTTTTGGTCAAGGTAATTAAATTATAGGAGTATTAAACTGGTCTACTCGCTGGTTGGATTGGATAGGATATGCATCACAGTTGAGACCCACCAGAAGATTCATCGCAACCATGAGCCAATGCTTTTTGTTTAACCGGTGGTGTAGTGTAGTACTTTTACTTTTGGGCCTTTGCCTCCAAGAGCTTCATCAGCTGACAGAGTGACAGTTGACACAAGTGATCACCGTAGAGAAAGAAAACGATCATCAAGAGATTGACATGGAAGCGGGGCTACACTGATGTACCACTGTACAGGGTTGAAAGTGACCCACTGCCCACCACTAGTAATATATCTGGCCCAGCTCCAGCTCCAGCTCCAATATCAATGCACACACATCGCTTCATCAGCATGCATATATATGCACTTCTGCAGTACTAATGTACTATCATGTTCTACATACAGGAAACAGATGTGGTCTTTTTTTCCTATCATGATAGGAGTTGAAGTTCTTTTTTTTCCTATCTGAAGTTATGATAGCAGAGGACATAGGAGTATGTGTTTGCTGTTACATTCTTGTACTACATGCGATGTGAATCATATCATGCAGTCTCTCTCACAACTAGTGGCCAATCGATCTCAAGTTGTATTCGCTTTATCTTTTTTTTTTTACTGCAATAAGGATGGACAAAGTCTGGAAGTCCAAAGAGAAGGCCCAAATGACCAATCTCCAAGAAGGCCAACTACACGCAGCCCAACTGGAAGATGGGCCTCTGTTTGGCCCAATGTTTGTAGGTATGAGCTGAGACCCAATAGCCTTCACAGTTCCGCATGTTATTGCTAAGGAATAAGTCTGCTTGCCGTTCCTATCTTTACGTCAAGTTTTATTGACATCCCTAAACCACAATACCAGAAATCTTCACCCTCATCTTGCCAAAACTGTTCAAGACATGTCCTCTACAACTGGTTTCGTTGACATAACATCCTAGTCGGAAAAACATAAAACACATACGGGCCCACATGTAAGTGAGAAGAAAAAAAAATGTGAAGCCCACATATTAGCACCCAGTTCTTTCACTTCTCTTTCTCCCCAACCACGCACGCTAGGTAGATGGAGGAGGTGGCTCAGTGGCGCTGGGTGGAGTGGGCGGGATCCTGCTTTGGTGGAAGCCGGCACCACGGAGAGGTCACCTAGCTCAACAATGAGAGGGTACGCCCACCTCGTCCGTCGCCACGTACTGGAGAACGGAGGTCGGTGACGCGAACAGGTTGAATGAGTTATCGCTGATGCGGTCGTCTTCTGGTTGTGGCTTTGTTGGCGCCAACATCGGAGCACTGGCTAGGGTTGGGGGAGAAGACAAGGGCGAGGCAGTGGTCCCGCTTGTGGTCGTCATGTTCAGGGTGGTGTGCCACTGAGGGCGGAGTTTCATCTGTGACAAGCAAGGACGGGGCTTGGCCTTGGAGGGGGGGTCTAGGAGTCGGAGAGGAAGTTGGTGACGGTGTAGGAACCCCTAATATAGAGCGCAGCATCGTCGTACACCGGTACACGACAACAGCCTCCTCGGCAGTATCAAAGATGCTAAGTCATAGCTTCTTCTAAAGGCTCGGGTCGCCGATCTCCACCGAGAACCTACCTCACAACCACCATGGTACACTGCAGAACCGCTGGCTCACCACTATATCCCTCCCTGCCACCACACGAGCGCCATCATTGGAACCAGCTGCCTCGGATGCTTTTGCACCTGTGACTGCACTTGTGCCAATGACGGCCAGGCGGCCCCGACGTCGATGTCGATGAGCTACCGGACGCTTCGCTGGGAGCGCTCGTCCTCGAAGGAGTCCATGTTCGTGGTGTCGACGTCCACGAAGTAGACTAGGACATGCTTGGGCCAGGGCCACCATTCTGAAGAGCCACGGACTGCTCTCACTCCATCCAGCGCAAGCCAGTTGTCTACTCCGTCGACCTCGCGTGCGTGGTTAGGGAAAAAGGGGCTGTGTTCGGCAGCGCTACATCGCAGCTGCAGCCGCTGCTATGCAGATCCATAATAATTGAATCAACAATAGAAACACGGTTCAAACTGCTGCAATCCAGCCGCAGTATCTAGCCTCCGAACAGAGCCAAGAAAGAAGTGGATGCTGACATGCGGGCCCCTGTATTTCTTCTCACCTACATGTGGGGCCCACATGTTTTTATTTTCTTTTTCCAGCTAGGATGCCACGTCAGCGAAACCAGCTATCGATACTATATTGTGACTTGTCTTAAATGGTTTTGGTAAGAAGAGGGGTGAAGATGTCTGGCATTGCAGTTTAGGATGTCAATTAAACTCGATGTAAAGATGTGGGGGGGGGGGGGGTGATAAGTGGAGTTATTTCCTATTGCCAAAATTAATTAGCCCATTTTGATGTCCGGTGGCCCAACAAGAGTAAAATGGATTGTTGTATGGCTTCTGCAATATGGTGCTGGATTGGTGGAGGCCATAGGCATTTCCTTATTTTGTTTTCGGCCGAACTAATTTGTACTTGCACTGTTGCATTGATCCTCAATCCCCTAATTACTTTGGGCTTCAGATTTTCCATTGCCTTTTAAGTTTCAAGCAGGCTCATAAGAAATTTGTAGACATTC